TCACCGCTCTCTGGTGGTCAAGGAATGCCATGGATAGGGGATGATAGGAAGGAATCTCAGCTGATATGTGCCCGGTGCGAGAACAGAATACTTCCGCAAAGTCCACGTCTGGTTCCCCATATTCGACGAGGCCCGCTTCCTGGAGAATATGGCGAAATACTATGCCGGCGACCCCAAGTTATCAAAAGACCGCGCATGGCTCGTCTGCTTCAACAACGTCCTCCTCTTTGGCGTCTTCAACAGGACGACCTCGCGCCAGCCTGTCGAGCCCGGTATCGGACGGAATTTCTTCCTGAACGGGTGGGCGGCGATCGATGACCTCGAGGTCTTCCTCGCCCCAAGACTCGCCAATATACAAGCACTGCTCACAGGCGCAGTCATTGCCATTGAAATCTCGAGACCGGGCCTCTGCTGGTCGCTGCTATCGCAAGCTGCAAGGCTCTCACAGGCGATCGGGCTTCATCGCCGCACACCGAGCAACACACAGTACACAAAGTCGGAGCTCCAGGAGCGGCGATGCATCTTCTGGAATGTCTATGTGCTCGACAAGTGTCTCTCGCTGACCTTTGGGCGCTCCACATGTCTCCCGGACTTTGATTGCGACACGGAGCTGCCGGAGGACGACGGCACCAGCCCGTACTTTAAGAACTTCCTCGCGCTGATCCAGCTGGCCAAGATCCAGAGCAACATCTACGTCCGCCTGTACTCGGCCTCCGCTGCGCGCATGACCGACGAGGAGCGGGACAATAACATTGCCACTCTCGACCTCGAGCTGCGCAACTGGTGGGCGGAAAAGAAGGCCATCTTCTTCACGCCCGAGACCGGCGCCTCGGACAAGCCACTCGACGTGTTCTCGCGTCTCGAGCTGCGGTTCAGCTATCTCTGCAGCTTGACACTAGTGCACCGCACTGCGCGCCCCGGGGCCGCGAGTGAGCGCGTGTGTCTGGAGAGCGCGCGAGAGAGTATCGTCATCATTAACGAGGTTGTGGAGAGCAGCTTTGATATCGCCAACAGCGGGATGATCATGTGGTCTGTTGTCCCCTCTCTGCGGCTTCTGCTTCCTTGTCTGACGGCTGCCGGGCGGGCCAACAATAGGTTGTTCCAGTACTACCCGTTCACAGCCTTCTTCGTCCTCTTCTCGGCCATCATCAGGAACCCGTCGGCGCCGACGTCGAAAGAGGTGGATTTCCAGCTCATGAAGGGCCTCGTGAGCTATCTGGGCAGGATGAAGGAGAAGAACGAGGGCGCGGCGAAGCTGCTGCAGATTGCATCGGCGTTCACCCATGTGGCGGGGACGTTCCTGAAGAACTACGGCAAGATTGAGCAGCAGCGGGGTGGGGAGCACGGCGGTAAGCGGCGGCGGCGCGACGCGGGCAGCGACGGAGAGGAGACCGGCGGGATCACGCCGGAGGATGGGTGGTTGCAGGAGGGGGCCAGCGACGGGCACAAGGTCTTCGTGAGGGGGTATGGGAAGGGGTTCTGGGGCACCACTGCGTTTCCACGGGACCAGGTGGAGCAGGTGTTTACACCTGAGACGCTTGCTGCGTCTGCTGGCACTGGTGGTGGTGGTGATGCGTCGACTACTGCGTCGGGCACGGCGGCGCCGACGCCGCCGGCGGGGTGGGCGCCTGCGGGGGAGGTGGATCTGCATCCGGCGAGCTTTTTGAAGTGGCCCGGGGCGGGGGTGCCGGATGGGCACATGCCGATGGATATGGGGGTTGATGAGGCGCCGGTGTTTGATATGGACTTGACGGCGCTGATGGAGGAGCCGGAGGGCTTCCAGATGCAGATGGAGCAGGCGGCGATGAGGGGGCCGCTGGAGTTTGATTGGTTTAGTTGGGAGGGGTCGGCGGGTGGTGTTTAGATAGGACTGCTACTACTCCTCTACTCTACTCTAGTTTTGATAGATATCTTTTTTTTGGATTTTTTTGGATTTGGGGAGGGACTTGGGGAGGGGGCGGGGGAAGGGGGAAGGGGGATTTAATGGGTTGAGGGGGCGCTGGCAGCTAACTTGTGTTGTGGTTGGTTCTGTAGATATTTTTTGTAGTGCGCTTTAATGCTGGGTTACATTAGGAATGTGAACGCTCTTCTCTTATTCTTATTCTTATTCTTTTTGCTTTTGCTTGCGGTGGATATTGGATATTGGTGGGGATGGATAAATGATAATTTTATTATTGTAATGATATGATATCGATGTGAAGTAGTATAGTCTGAGGGCTTGTTGTGTACTCCGGCCGGGTGCAGGCGTTGGTGTAGGTGTGTTGAAGATAGAGCAAGACCGTGAAGTACATGTAGCCTGGTTGATGGTTGATGAATACATCAATGTATGTTTCATATGTAGCTAGCTATAGATACTGTAGTCCAGAAAATGGGAATGTCAAACACGAGTGATCCTCCGTGATCACAGTTATTATTATTTTTTTTGTCTTAATTCATTAATTGTTGTGATCACAGTTACATATCTTGCTGTTTTCACAACTATATAAGAGATGCTATGTAACGAGACTGTGGAGATATATGACTGGAGATAAGTGGGAGTCATCGGTTAGATAAAGGTCGTATATATCTCCTAATATATAAAAAGTCAGGACGAAAAGAAATTTCGCAGGTGATGATTGGCCTAGGGCCCAATCCTACACATAGGCTCCCTACATACAACGTTAATTAGGGTGTACCTAGAATATGCCCGAACAACCCTTCAGTAAAACTTGTTCAGTTTACTCTGCCCGGGAAAGTACTTCTAAAGACAAAATGACTCCGGTTGGTAACAAACGGCAGGACCTCTGGTTAGTAATATAAAGCAAACTTTTATCATTGATTCTCACTCGCTCGCTCCTTATTGTGTAGCTATTTGTAGGCACAGTCTGGGCTGGGCACAATACTATGAGCCACCCACCCAACCGGTGTTCGTCGGGTAACTCTTGGTGGCTATAAATTACAATCCTCCCGTCCCACCGGCCATCTCTCCCCGCCTTCCCCCACTCCATCCTTTTCTTCAACCCTTAATTTCCAACCACCATCAGGTATTTACATATCGGTTTCTCTTTGGTGAAAACCTTCTAACGTGGTACATAGATGTGGATAACGAGTGATCTCTGATGACCCCGTTTCTCCAGCTGCGCTTCATCCCCCACTCTCATGGACACAACCCAGGCTCAGAGATATATCTAGAGAATTAACCACCCCTAGCTGTGCCCAGGCCGTTCTAGGGCGGATTTCTCCGTTTTGATATCCCGATCGATGGGCAAGGCTTTCACCACGGGCCAACCAACAGCTTGAACTGCCTCGAGTAGCCCTGGCCAGCGACGTTCCTCCTCCAGAGGCGTATGTTTTGCTCGGAGATCTTGCTCAGTTGGGGGCGTAATCTCTGATCGTGACATTCGCGTTTTGAGTCGGAAGAGTTTTGTCGAGTGATAGGCTGTGACCGAACACACCATTCGAATCAAGGGTGCACTGGGATGGTTGGGGAATTGAGCTTAAATTATGGAAGATGGTACTACGATCATGTTACGGGTTGGTTTACTTTTTTCTCTATCACGGTCAGAAGTGATATACGCGATTTGTTTGATTGTAGCAATATCACTCGGTTTTTCTATCGAGCAAGGGCTTTCTACTGGACTTGGTTTATTTCTGAATTGAGGTATCTGTGGTACATGAGGGTACTAGGGCATCAAAAACCACGACTAGTTAACAGGATAGGGAAAACACGAGACTACATACTGACGCCGGTTTCGCAACGGACATGGGAATTCCGGCACCTCGAGAAGAGGGAGAGTTGTATCGAATTACGTACCCTTTGACACAGAGGAGATCTATCTCGGATTACCTCGAGTCATATCCATATGCTAATCTGAATATTAAATCGAAATTTTGACAACCCCCTTATAATATCAAAATAGAAAACAGGTTGTGGGTTTGTGCAAGAATTGTCGGTAAAAAGAGAAAAAAAAGAAAAGGAAAGAAAAGAAAAACAGGAATAATTGACTTATGTTTTTCAGTGTGCTCCAATCCCCCGGGCCTATTCTCCGAATCTTTTCGGCAGTTATTGAAGGAAGGCCCATGAATCGGAAATACCAAGTCCAATATAGGCGTCTGTATCGTGTGGCCGGTACGCTTCAGACTAGTGCTTCATGCCGTACTACCAAGCACGAAGCACCTCGGCCCTTATGGAGCACGCCGGTCCGGACCCGGTTGTTTCGCTCACAAAATTCTCTAAACTCAACCGCGGTTTCCACATATTGCCTAGATCACTCCCGGTCTTGCTTTGCATGCAATGAATGAATTAGGTGGAAGGGAGGAGGAAAGAAATCCCGGTCTTGCTAATACTTACCCAGGGTTAGGGTTTTACTAGAAATCGTCCGATACCCGGGGACACCTTCGTATAGCCTTCTCCTCTAAAGGTTTAAAGAAGGGGATGCCAAATGTTGAATCCTACGAGCTGTCTGAAAACGATTTCTGTATGTTAGTGGCGGGTTTCTAGGCATTATGGTTTCTTACTAGAGGAGCGGATCTTAAAGAGTCCCTTTTGGAAACACAAGGCTACGAATGGGCCTATTTAAGAATAAGGTAATGCGAGATTTACACCTGGTTATTATTCCATATAGCATGACTCTCGAACAGTTGTAGGAGGTTGTATATGGAGCTCAATTTCGGCGTCTCGCATCCTATCCACAGAGCCTAGCTCAAATGCCAGGAAATGATCATAGTGCATGAATTGAACAATACTTCATTGTACATTAACACGTCTCGTTGCAACACGGAGTTTCAATCTTTTAACGCGTAGGTATTGATAGAAGTGCACTCCGCTGACTGATCATTTCCAACGAATCAATAACTAATCGTAATTAGAAAACTGCACTTGCAGCAAAAAAGGTATCAATGAAAATATCAAATTAAACCTCGACCCCGCACAACAACCACGCAAAAAAGAAACAAAAATTAAGAAAAAACGAAAAACGAAAAAGAAAGAACACAAGTCGCAAAAACATTCTATCCAAGCTCTAAGAGATCCGTCTGAAGAACGCCTCATACTCCTCCTTCGTCTTGAAATGCGGGGGTCCCCGCGGCTTCTTCGAGTCCCTCCTCTCATTCGAATCACAACCATCTCCTGGCGTTGAATTAGAAGGGCTGTTGCCATCTAGGTTAAATGTTCCCATGGGGGGAGGCTCCGGAACTAGGAATCTCCAATTTTGCGGAAAGAACTTTGAAAGTGTGTACTCGTCCCTCCCGATGACCTTCGACTCCCCGCCAAACGGCACTCGAAACCGGTCAAGGATGTGTCGTGTTAGCTCGTTAGTCGGCGAGAAGCTGGGAAGGAAGTGGGATCTCTCGCTGGAGGTGTAATTCTCCTGGTCGAAGCGACGCTTTGAGCCGGCCGATTGGGGAGAGGAGCCAGCGGTGTCTTCGGGTACGACGACGAGGCGCCGAAGCGCGACGAGAATGTCGAGAAAACGCTGAGCAACGAGGTCATAGACAGCGCAGACCTCAAGGGCACCGATGCACTTGTTGAGGAGGTCTTGGTCTTGGACTTCGGTTTGTTTTCCGGCGTGGGAGCTACCGTCAGATGAGAGGCAGAGTAGGACTATGAGTCCGGCAGTGTATGCAGCTTGTCTATTTGATAATGTCCCGTCAGTCCAAAACGCTTCTCCCTATAGATGTCAAGGATGGGGAAGAAATTTCATACATCAGCATCCAGCACCTCCGAACTATACGACCTTCCGAGTGCAACAATCCAACAACCTCCCAAACAGTCAGCGCCTTAGCTCCCCCAACATAAAGAACTTTGGAAAATCCACAAAATAAAGTAGGGAAGTAAAACCGTTGCAAGCTGCCTGCCTGCAGACACACACATTCGAGCATATTCATCTGCTACCGCCATCCTAGCCAGGCCGTCGAGGCCCTCAAATCGTCCTTCCAACCTCTCTAGGAGGATGCGCCGTGTTAGTAGTATTATGCAGCTGAGGTAGGAGCTGTGCGCCAATAGTATCGTGGATCGCTGTTTCGAGTCATTCCCGGAAACTGCTCTATGCAGTCGCAGTGACTCTGGCAGCGATGAGTGCCACGCCTTCAACCGGGCAGAATAAACGGCCACCTTGTTGAAGTCGATGAAAGTAGGGGTGTAGACATCTTTTGTGATGGAGCCCATGAAGATTGAGAGCTTAATGACTTCAGCGTGCAGATAGGCGTCCAAATCGTTCGTGCATGTGCGATAGCCCTACAACCCGCGTTAACTCCGAGATTGAATAGGAAAGTCAAGCAACTACTCACCTCACCATAAATCGGGTCCTCCCCATCACATATTGTCGGGATATTACCCAATGATCCAGAGAGCCAGCTAATAATGTGATTTCCCGCATTAGTATGTACCCTCGACTCAACTTGGACCGGGCGGACATAAGCTCCGTCCAATAGAACATTCAATTGGAAGGGATATCTACCCGTCCAGAAAAACCAATGATCCCCACACTCTTTTCCACGAGGCCCATTCTCGCTCGCTGTAGTCAGGGTGTCTCTGCATCAGATTGAGACCTCTCGCACGCGCAAGCTCTATCGCTTGGTCTGGCTGGACATTAGCAACTGAACCACCCACCCCAGCCACACTATTAACACGGGGCGCAGCATTAACAGAACATACCCAAATAATCTCTAGCCCAGAACGACTTCTCAAACACAAAAAACAATCCCACAAGCATTGAAGTCCTCATCCTCTTCAATGGGTCCCACTCATTTCCCGCCCCGCTATCAAGATACCATTTCGCACTCTTGAACAGGGCCAGCTGCGCGTCCTGAGTGATATCCTCATACTGCGACCCGATCGCCGCGATGGCGAGCAATTCGCAGAACTGGGCGGGAGTAATCTTTGCTTGGCTGCTGATGGGATAATACGTCGCATTTATGAGCTCAAAGACCTCGTACTCGGCGAGAATATAAATGAGCGTGCTGGTGCCACGGATGAAGCCTGATATGCATTGCGAGATTATCTCCAGCGGGGGAGGGTCGTGGATGTTGTAGAACGTGTCGAGCTCTGGTCTCCGTGAATCGTAGTGGTATGACGATGGGCGATTACGGCCACTGGCGCAGCTAGTGGAATCAGCAGCTGGTGGAGACCGACGGGAGGTGGAGGTGGAGTCTGCGCTGGAGACTCTCCTTGCTACTGGACACTGAGGGCGCGCATATACTCGGACCATGTCTGGGGGTGCTTCTCCCACTGCTCCTGCGAGCGCTGAGCGCAGAGGTGGGAGGATGAGGCTTGTGGGAGGTTGTTGCTGTGGTTGCTGTGGTTGCCGTAGTTGCTGTGGTGGGGGGATGATTGAGTAGATTGGGTGGGGGAAGAGCAGGAGGAGGAGGAGGAGGAGGAGGAGGAGGAGGAGGAGGGCTGCTAGAACCTTTCATTATCTTCTTCTTCGGCTTCGTCCTTCTGCTTCTTCTTCTATTTCAACGTCTTTTCAAGCTCTCTTTTTTCTTCTCGTCTAGTAGGACCTAACTATGGGGGCCACCTGAAGCTCTTATACAAGAACTTTTGCGCCTCTTGGTTGACTGCGCGGTACTCAGGATTAATGGTCTCCAGCTATAATCCTACCAGGGCCTACGGTAGGCGGCATCGCGTGGTGTTGTGTCGTATAATAGTTTGAGTTGAGACCAAAAGTAACGGCGTATGCCAGCTAAGGGGAAACTTATCCCAAACCTGAAGAAAATGACCAATTGCCTAACTACTCTACATGCAATTAACCAAAAAAGAAATTCTCTCCCCCCCCTCTCCCCCTCTCCTCCCACTCTCTATCATTCTCTTGTTACCTTATTTCCGATATCCCTACGTACAATACGTATGTGAACAGGTGGCGGGGAAAAGGAAAAAAAAGAAATCCAGCACCCTGGATCCACGCTTATTCTCACATATGCGGCTCTTTTGCATTCCTTTCTTTTCTTTAATTGCACTGAAGCTCTGCCCCTCACGACGAAAATCCAATCTCGATAGGCGATTGTGATTATCCAGCTGACCAGACCATGCGAGGAGGTGGTAACGAACCGAGTTTCGGCACTCTTAGGGTGGTGTATGTATCTCTCTACGTCCCTATGCGTGGTAGAGTAGCTGTCCGTTCCCATATGCTGGGATTTGAGCAACGTCAAGGATCTCATACGATTGTTGCAGATAAAGAAGGCGTTTTCTCTTCACCGTGATTGGCTCAGTGAGCACAGATACGTACTCCAAATGAAACCGACATGCACGTGGACGGAATAGGGACAATATACCGGGTGCAGATCTGGTAGATACAACTCTATCTCTACTCTACATGTTGGGACGAAATATCAACTACAGTCGTCCGCCGATATAACGAACGTGCATATTCCAAAGTTTTCCGTTCGATACAGCAAATTATTCGGTATAGCAGGCAAGTTTCTATGTGAAATTTAGATTCGGATCACCGAGACCCGTTCGTTATAGCAAATTTGTGGCTTTTTTGGCATTCGTTATATCGGCGAACGACTGTAGGTACAAGTAGTACTTGCTTTCCAGTCAAAAAGTGTTTGGGGCGCCGGTCGGTGGACCTAAATACAACTAATACATACATGAAGTTACATGCACCCTGAGGCTCTAGAAATGACGAATGGGTACTTAAGTGTCAATGACCGTGCTCCTTTCGGCCGTATGGACCTCGATCATGCATGCCGCCAACAGCACGTAGTAATTACTCTAAACTGGAGTAACTAGATGATAATCCAGCCATCTTCATCATCACAGCCAAACAAAGGGCTTAGTTCGCCGACGTGAGCACGGGGCAGGAAAATCAAATATCCGTTTTGTGGCTTTTTTTGCTTGCTATGGTTGCGGGCACCTGTAACCGGAGGACATTTGACCTCAAACTTTGGGGGGTGATGACTTTCCGACCACCACATCTAAAATTATTTTCTCTCTGTTAAATGATGCTTTAGCCTCCACTCTACATCATGACAGAGTTCAATTAATTTATTGTTTATGGTTGTGGAGTTATTGAATTTCTAAAAGTTGGGTTTTTGGTAAGAGACCAAATGAATGTCGCCCAAAGTTGCCTATTGCGTTATGCATTTTAATTACCTGATTAGGCAATTCTTGGACTACCTCTTAATATCATTGATAGGTCTTGGCACGAAAGCGCCAAGTTATTACTTGATTTGGAAAAGTGATAGCCAAAAAACACCAATGTCGCACCTACTCCGGATACAGGTGTCCGCAACCATAACGTTTATAAGAGACAGACTTAGTCATCTAACACCATTGGACAAGCCATATTCCTGTGAAATCCTGTCGCCGGTGAGGGTGATTCGTTTCCTGTGCTGCGTTTTCTTTTCCTTGTCTAACTCTACTGACGCGCATGGAGAAACCGGAATCAGATTGGGGAGGCGTTTTTATTTATTTATTTCGTATCATTTCGTGGAAAGTGATGGATCCCTTTTACTTCGATGGCGGTCGGTCGTCGTTACTCTATATCTGGTCATGTCTTATCCCCCTATCCCTTTTCTCTAACTTTACCGCGTACCCTGGACATGGAGCTCTTAATTGGCCCGGTCTAGATCAATGGGATCCAGTGCCAATGACCTGCCTTACCTGCCCTCTTGCCTACCTATCTGGTTGGACAACTTGGGGGGGGGGGGTGTTTGCAATTGCCAATTGCTGGCTGTGTCATGAGGGTATCTCATTTTTTCCATCACGTTTGGGAATGCTGCCAAATACTTATGTACCCATCCCCGCCAGTGTTGCTACTCAGCCCAATAAGGCAGCGGGCATTGAGCGTTTCGGAGGCTACGGTGGCGACATTCCCCGTGTGAATATAACATGACAGATACAGCTACACCTCGCTATAAGAAACCTTGTTATAAGAAAGCCTTGCTATAAGAAACAGCGCATAGGGTACACGCTAACAGTTCTACACCAAAATCTTACTTGCTATAAGAAATATTAGCTATAAGAAACAAAATCCGCCGCCACCTTGGCGTTTCTTATATCGAGGTGTCGCTGTACTTGTAAATATAGCACACATGCAAACATAGGACTTTAACTCTCCATACAATTCCTATATATGCTCTACCGACATATCATGCGCCCAATCCGGGTTTCCCTGCGTGTCAGCAAAAGAAGCAAAGTCTAGGCCTCGCGACGCCCGTGAGGAAGAGACGGAAAAAAAAAAAAGCCACATGGTTAATTAAATCCGATTCCCCATGCCTGCAGGTACGATCCCACCATACAGATGACAGCTATCAAGAACCACTGCAGTGGACTTCAGGCGGAATTTTGTACCGGTGGATTTTTGAGGCTTTGCTGCGAGTTCCAAATATGGTTGCGGGGAAGGGGATTTGGTGCTCTCTGGAGTTGATTGCAGTTGATGCGAGGCGGGGATATTTCACCTATGTACAGAATGTTGTCCCCCCCCGGGTTGGCTTTCCGTCTCGGTAGGTGGGGAACGCCAAGAAGCTTTCGATTCTGCAGGTACAGACGGAGTGGCAGGCAAAGACAGGAACACTCAACACTCAACACACAACATCCTGAATCCTAATCAACATCGAGCGGGGGAAAAAAAAAGACACTCTGAAGTTTTACGATACACACTGACGTTTGTAATGTCGAAACCCACGATATACCTTACATATTGCAGAGACACAGATAAATAAACACAGACAAAAGCCACAATTGGAATACAAACCATACGCCATCTGGTTCAGTCAATATCGACGATTAGAACCCTCAATATAACCAATTAATCCCAAAATCTAAAAGAGGGGAAAGGAAAAAAAAAAACACGGCACACATCACACACACCACATGGAAACAATAGTCACGTATTCATATCGACACATCAGCAGCGCCGGAAGCAGCAGAATCAGCAGAAGCAGCAGTAGAGGCAGCTGCCGTCGTTGACCTGGCCTCGTCCAAAGGCTCGATTTGCGTTCCCCCTCTCACCATCTTCACCGGCCATTCAAGCCACTTCTTCCATTTCTCCAGATCCCTAATACTCCTTTCGATTCTCCCCAGCTCATACTCTGCCCGCCCACCCACCCACCAAGCTACCTCCATCCGCTTGAGCAGCACGCAGTAATATGCAAAAATTATCAGTGCCCGTGGTCGCCGCTCCTTCAGCAGCAACACATACTTGTCGCTCACGCAGATGGGCCACTGGAAGATCAACGATGTCGTATTGAACTGCATGTCCGGATCGGTGCAGCTCACAAAGCTCTTGCGCAGCTTATGGATCGCGCCAAAATACGTGGACGACACCTCCGTGTCCTTAATCTCGTCAGCGTCTGACTCCGTCGTGTCCGTACACAGTCTATACAGCGCATTAAGCGCCTCAGTTTCATCACTCGAGATCCCAGTCCTCTCATAGAATTGTACTTTCAGCATTTGGCCGAGACAGCCAGATTCTACCCAGTCCCACACCTCATGGAGAATGCTGTGGACACCGCGGATAAGCGGGATCCATTCTGGGATGTTCCAGGGATCGTTTTCCATCGAATTCCCGGGTATTAGCGGAGACGCGGTCGCGAAGACGACGATCAGCGACGAGGAGATAAAGAGGGCCTCACAGCTATCTTTGCATATATGAGGGACCATGGCACCCATTGTGCGCACGGCTTGGTCATAGTGTGCTGTAGCAGTGATGAGACGGGAGGTGCGGTTGTGGGGCTCGAGTAACGCTAGGTGGAGGGAGGAGACGGCGAGCATTGCGTGAATGGTGCACCCGCTCTTATCGGCGAAGGCAATGCGGGGGACATCATGGGTCCACATGTCCATGAGATTCTGTGAGCTCGACAGGAAGGATGGGGCCACCCTGGAGTAGTGGTACATCAGTTCTAAATCCGTCGTGGTCCATGAGAACGTGAAGCCGAGGTGAGGGCCGGTGAGGGGGATCAGGTGCTGATGCTGCTGGTTCTGGAGTGGCGGAAGGAAGATATCAGGGAGGGAGGTTCGAACCGCCGTCCCGGAGGGAGGGGACCCGATATAACTATCTGGAGTCGAGGCTGGTGGTGAGAGTAAACTGCTGTTGCCTGTGTTGTTGACATTCGGGAGGGTTATCGTGCTGCCGGGAGTACTGGCGTCAATGTCGCTGGCACTGCTATCATTGACACTACTCCCTCCACCATTGCTGAAGTCGCATTCAATAGCGTGCTTAATACAGTTCCCGCAGGCAGGGTGGACCTCATCGCACTGCGCAGAGCTGACCATCAATAACAATAACAAAGAAGCAAGAAGGTGGTGAATATAAAAATTCACCGGCCCTGATTATAAATTCTGCGTGGGGAACGCAAGTAGTTTATATGGAAGCTAATGACCTACATACCTTGACTCTTCTCTTCTTGCATTTCGCGCACCCATTCCGAGACTTTGTATGTGTGCGTCGAGGAGGCATATTTATGTAGTATTCAGCTAGCTACACGGGCTGATAGATAGTTGATCTGATTGGATACGGTGTATACGCTGGCTAGAGCTCTCCGAATCGTATCCCACGCCGTACTCGTGACCGTGTAATGAGATGTTGAGGAAAGCAAAAAAGCAGAAAGCTGGTAGAGTAAAGCGAGGGAGCAGAGACAGAACGAAGCTGCACGGATCCGAGTACGACACACATCCGAATACGAATACGGTCGCTCCATCAACAACGCGAACACGGTCTTGGCATGCAGCACAGCGGATACCGGCACGTTCTGTCAGGGAGCCATGGGAAATGGTCAATCCTACCGGTTTTTCTATATTTACACCCATATATGTACCTAGAAATACAATATTGTCTATTAGATACATACAGCAATATATTAAGGGACAAATACGAATAAACAAAAGCATTAACACTTTACCACATAGCCACATGTACATGTACCTCTCGCAGTGTGGCTCCGCAGAGTCCGTATTATACAACTCCCACAAAACAAAAAACAAAAAACAAAAACCCTTCACCAACCAAAACAAACCCTTAACTGCCTAGCCACGTGCGTCCCTCGCTTTTTTCTGGAAGCCAGGATTTTCAGGGGGAAGGCAGAGCAAGAACCAAAGGGACCCATCTCCGTTAACCGCATCGACACGATCTCGGCCCGCGGCATGGTAGATCAATGTATGGAAACCCTAACCCTATGTGCCAACCCCCGCCCTTCCCCGGATTCGGGCGTGTGTAAAAAATAAAAAAAAGCGGGGTTTGCGCCGACCGACCGAGATGCCCTAAGACCTGGGTACACGTGTCTGCCGCAGGGGATGCTCCGAATAGAAAAATTCGGGTTACCTTTCTGAGGTGCTGGGGGATGTGAGGTAGGTAGATGTCGCCTTTTGCCATCGCCGGGAGTGCTGTCAATGAGGACTAGCTGCGCGCTTTCTTGCGGCTATTTAAGCTTTGGTGCTCTTACCCCCGTAGATGATGCGTTTCAGAGATTGGGATTCTGGTGAAAACCTGGGAGACCAGCTTCTCAGTCCGTGGAAGTATCTCGCTGTGTAACGTTAGTGGCAACTCACGTCACCAGGTCCTCACTTTTTTTTTTTTTTTAATTCGTTAATTGCATGCAGCCTTAAAGCTATCCCTTAAACTGTCGGAATTTTCACGGCTTTTTAGCGCTGTCGATCGCCCCAAGCAGGAAATCAGGACTCCCGGGAGAGGTTGATACAGGTCACAACGCTTCACGGCTAGATCTAGAGAGGTGCTAGTGATAACCAGAGTGGCATTAGCAACAAATGAAAACTTGATGTAGTAATACTACTGCCCACTATGGCTAACCATTCGTATCTTGAACACAGAGGAGGGGATGGCAAGCCAAGTCCTCACTGAGTGAATGTGTTTCACTGAGCGGGGAGCTGGTCTATGGGTTCTTTGTTGTAGCTGGTTTTGGCCTGATGTTCTGTGCGGATAGCGGGTATAATCGTTGAGATCGACGTTAACAATTTTTATTAATGAGCTTGAAGAGTAGTCTATACGTACACAGACACATGGCCATGAGTGATATCTCATGAACCACCCAATCAAACTCTCAAACTCGAGCTCGTGACGGTGAGCAGAGCTAGAGTATACGCCACCTGGGTATGAGGGCTCTGAGGTAGTAGGGTAGTAGTCTGTCCGCCTTGGTAGTAGGTCTCCTGACGCGGTATCAAATGGTTTTGCTAGGTGCTGTGTCGATGAATCTTTCAATACGAGCTCCCCTTGCTTTAGGTACTTTGTTGGCGAAGGATCACCTTCTCTACGCCTTGTTGAAAACCGTTATCCGCAGTTTTCATTCTTTGATGTCGTGTCTGGATAGTGCTCTATGTGTGTGCCAGGTCAGTTGTTCCCGGATCTCTGGATCATAGAATATCACTCGGTGGTTTTGCAATAGAGAGGGATTTTTGTTTCAGCTATCCTAGAGCGATATCTATTGAGCGAGATCAAAGACGATAGGTGTATACATGTATATACATGCAGTTTTATGCACTGTAGAGTAGTTGGTGTCAGTGATTGAGACGCGCGTACATACCCGACAACCTCCATGTGATTTGTTCTTACCTTGGGGTTCTATTACTAAATGGGAACGTGAAAAAGGAATCATCTAGAGATAATGATGAAGTGAATGACCGCTAAGTGAGTAGTAGCTGTACCGGCGTTGTCTTGGCTAAATACGAGTGATAAGTTGTGATTGACCGCAGGAAGGATTTCGGCGGGCCCTAGAGGATTCTTTTTGATCGCTCTTCCTCTTCTTTTTTTTTCACTGGATTCCTTCTTCTTTCGGATTGAGCAAGCGTTAGAAGTAGCTCTTTGGTCTTTACTGACAGAATAGATACTAGGTACCCGATCTGGGTTAGATTCTGTAGAGATTAAAGACAACTTTGAGGAACACTTACGATAGATGAGATTTTTTTTCAAAATTTCAATGTGGAATAGTCGCAGGCCGTAAATGGGAAAATGTATCAAATAGCCGAAAGATTGAGGTTCCGCATTGCCTCTGTGAAAGTTGACGGTGAGATTCTTAGAATTCAGTTAGATGTGATCTTGACTCGGTGCGAAGGATTCAAGGCGAGGGTTGCCGAGAACGAAGTAGAGCCGAGAGGGAAAGATGATTCACTGAGACCATTCAAGTTTGGCGGATATATGAGTTTTACAACAGCGTACACGTAGCCCGAGGAATGCTTGTAATCTTCAGAAGTACAGGTTGCCAATATATATATGAATTATGCTTAGATAGGTACAAAATGATACAGTATCCACGGACATTAGAAACTTTCCACATAATCTCTCCCATCATCAATCTTTTCTACATGATTCACGTTTCTCGTATGTTTCGCTTAACCAACCCAGAACGAAGCTTTAGACTTGAGACTCTCCGAGCTGTCACCAACCGACACAATAAACTCTCCCTTCTCAACGACAGACTGATGCCTTGTGTTCCACACCGCCAAGGTGCTAACATCGACGTCAATCTTGACAGTCTTCTCTTGGCCAGCCTTCAAAGCAATCTTTGCAAATCCCTTCAACTCCTTGTTGGGCACCACAACACTCGCAACCTTATCGGTGACATAGAGCTGCACAACCTCTGTTCCATCAACCTTGCCGGTATTCTTCACCTTCAAACTAGCAGTGACAATGGCATCGGCAGTGACGTTTGTCTGGCTGAGAGTGACATTAGTGAACGAGAAAGAAGTGTAACTCCTTCCGAATCCGAAAGGATAAAGTGGGAGGGGGCTGGACAGGACGTATTGGTGTCCAAACTTCATCGTTCCATTCTCATAGATGGCACCGGCATCAACATATCTGCCACCCTTGAGGTAGTCATAGTATGATGGGGCGGTTCCGACATCACGAGGGATCGAGACTGAGAGCTTTCCAGAGGGGTTATAGGATCCAAAGAGAACATCAGCCAAGGCGTTACCACCTTCCTCGGAGGGGTAAAATTGTTGAACGAGGGCAGCAGAAGAGTTAGAGATCCAGGGCTCAGTGATGGGCTTTCCGGATGAGAAAACGACGACAGTGTTCTTGTTGACCGCAAGAATTTCACGGACGAGGTCTGCTTGGGCACCAACGAGGTTGAGGTTGTGGACGTCTACGTGTTCACCGGTGGTGGCATTGAGACCGGCCCAGAGCTCATTCTGATCTCTACTCCAGGTTCCAACAACAACTACTGCGACCTCTGCTTCCTTTGCAGCAGCAATTGCCTCTGGGAAGCCACTCTGGTCGTTGCTCCATCTCTCACAACCCTGCGCATAGGTAACCTTGGTGTTTGATCCCTTGAGAGCGTTGTTTATTCCATCCAAAGGAGTGACACCACGGTATTGCGATTTGTAGACAACGTAATCACCGTACTATATTTTGTCAGTTGCTAATTTTGAGTTAACGAATCCAGATGCAGGGAAACTCACGTTCATGAAACCATGAGCCATAGGTCCAAGGACAGCAATGCTCTTGACCTTCTTCTTGTTCAAAGGCAGGACACCATTGTTCTCAAGCAAAACGATACTTTCACGGTCAATCTTCCGGGCAAGGGCTACACTGTTGTCCGAATGAATGATCTTCTTCCACTGGTCTTCAGGGGCGGCAATGTACGGGTTCTCAAAAAGACCCATGATGAATTTGGTACGAAGGATACGAGAGACAGCAGTGTCCAAGATCTCGATATCAAGCGTTCCATCTTCCAAAAGGCCAGGAATTGCGCGGTAGTTGCTGGGAGTATCATCAGTGATAGTTTAAACCAGGGTTAGGGTTAGACTTACAATGAACCTCCACCCATCTCAACGTCGTTACCAGCAGTAAGGGCAAGCATGGTGACAGCTCTCTTATCACCCTTCTCACAGAGACCGTGATCATTGCAGAGTTTGTCAGAACCACCGGCATCGGTCATGACATGGTACTTGAAGCCCCACTCTCCCCTGAGAACTTCGGTCAGAAGATGGTAGTCTGCAGCTGATGGAATTCCGTCATATGAGTGGTAAGCACTCATAACACTCCATGCATCTGCGTCAATGATGGTCCTCTTGAATGCTGGCAAGTATCTAGGGTAAAATTCTCGTTAGATGGATATCCCAAGGGGTCATTTCAAAGGAATACATACGTCCGTCTCATCTCTCTCTCTCCACCGTGGACAGGAGCAGTGTTTAATCCCTGTTCAGGAGTGCCAAATCCAGCGAAATGCTTTACAGTGGCGGCAACCTTTTTTGACTGCAATCCCACAACATATGCATGACCGTATTCACCGGAAAGGTATGGGTCCTCAGAGAACATCTCCTCGACACGACCGAAACGGTATTCTCGTGCAAGATCGACTACTGGTGCGAAGATGTGGTTGGCTCCTAATGCTGCTCCTTCTTCGGCAATGACTTCGGCCATTTGTCTGACTAGCTGTTTCAGGGTCAGTGAACAGCCCAAACCTTTGACTGCCGGAAGATTCACCTACATCAGGGTCGAACGCACAGCCATAGGCAATTGGGGAGTTGAAAATAGTCGCATTGCCGATCAAGAACCCGTGGATTCCTGCAAGGATAACATCAGCACCAGTAACATGCGATTGAGGAGTCAGAGCTTATTTACCTTCGGTTTGGACCAAGGCAGGTATTCCTAGTCTCGTCTCCTCAACTAGATACTTCTGCCCCCTCAATGTTTCCCTCGCGACCCACTCCCACGGAACCGGGTATCCAATATAAAACTGTCCGGTCTTATAGCTCATGCTATCTACCAACCCAGTTCTGTTGAAGGTACCATCCGTCACATTCAACCAGTTCGAGATATCACCCTGCATAACCTGGCCAACCTTCTCCTCAAGCGTCATACGTGAGATGAGATCAGCAATACGGTCATCTACAGAGGCCTTGGGATTCTTGTAGATGGCATTGGCGGGAACGCTCGAGTTTGCTGGAAGTGCTGTTGCCAGTGAGGACATCAAAGGCATGACAGCCCATAATCCTTGCGTGAACCTCATCTTTTTTGACTATGCGAGAAAAGAAACCCCAAACAGAGAAAGATTGAAAGGCCTGGTGGGAGGTAGAAGAAGACAGAGTACCGAAAAGAAGAGATACAAGCTCGCTTTTATATTTACAACCCACTCCACAACTAGGAGGCATTGCTACAGCCTAGCTTGCTTGCCATGCCATATTGTTCGGCATGGGGAGAACAACACGCCGTACCATATGAGCCGAGACCATCTTTTTTCATCGTCATGCTTCTACTTCCAAGATGGAAGAATCCAAAATAAGCATATTAGCCCCCATCCCCCTCCTCCCCGCAAGTTCTTCCGGCGAAGCTAACTAACTATGAAAGAAAGAAAAAATATCAACCGTGTTATTGTAATCTCCGAACCACTCTACAACTTCGGCTGAATTATCGTGCAAATAGCAAATACATGTAGGTACTGTATACATTGATTGCATGCCTGCAGCTAATGGACGTACCACGCCCAAAAGTGTTTGCCTGAATAGCGATGTACCTACTTTATTAATCTTGGGGAGCTCTGATCGACGATATTCCCTTCCTATTATCCGGGGACAAAAACCCGTCCTCGGCCTCGTTCGATTGATTGACCCTGGTTGGTGTGAGTATTTTCCGGGGTTGAATTGCCACTGCTGGCACCCCTGGCTACTATAAAGCTTCGACCATACGTAGAAAGAGGGCGGGGGATGTGGGGTGTCGGGCACGGATCCGACAACGTTAACGTTTTCTGGGGATCTTTCGAGCAGGGAAGCTACTTTCAGCCTATTGCCAAAAAACAACATTACGGGGAGCCCCATCTCAGTTGAAATAAAGAAACACCGTTTAGTATGGTTTTTGGAGCAGATACTCTAGAATCCAAGTATATAGTTTCAGCCCACGATAGTAGGTTTCTGGTGTGGGTATTGCGCACAAAATAACTAGCTACCAGATCGGAGTACAACGGGGGTGGTCCTTGGCCCTGGATCCGTAACGAGAAAGCCCGGTTACTGGCATCAAATCGTGCAAGGTTCGATTTACTGACTGGATGCATGCAGTCTTGATATAGATATACATATAAGTTGACAACTATGCATTCGCCAATGTACCGATACGGTTTGTCGGTCAGGTTTTTCCGTCGTTATTGGCATGTAGGTGGAAATTTATTCTCTATCTTGCTGGATAATGAATTTGGGCCAACGGAGATCCCGTTGCCAATTCTCTTATATCTAGAGCCTTTAATCTCCAGCGGATGAGGGCCCAAAATGCACTACCTATGCCCAGCCAGCCGTCGGTGAGTCGTTGTATTTACTCAGTGATTAACAACCCTAACCCTGTAGGTATCGGAGCCAACGCGAGCCGACGAACTAGCAACAAAATCATTTCCTGCTCAGCCTTACTCATGGCTAGCCCGCAAAAACGCACCTTACTCTCCAGTTTTATGGGTATACCTCATCACACAAAGCCGCCCCAGAAGAGGATCATAATTACAGCACCTATATCTGCAGGGAAACACCCTTTTTCTAGCCAACTCGGCCCGAGTTGTGTTTTTCCCTTGCTGCGACTTCATGGGCCAATCAGATAGTGGGAGGTTGGGCATGGGACAGAATCTGCTCGTTAACGGTTAACTAAGTTACTTTACAACCGACTAGGGCTAGAATAGTAACACCCAGGCCAGTACCCATTAGGGCACTTGGTTATTATTAACTGAAAATCAGCCCTTTTTTTGTCGCCAATAAACGCAAAATTTGGTTATCAAGAAAAATTCCCTCTTTAGTAGGGTCTATGATACCCTTATCGTAATGCGCCGATACTTGCATTTTCAGTGTAGAGTACATAGAATAGAGTCACACCACACGGTTACAGTACAATATTGCCCTCCCTCCAGTAGGCACACCATGGCCAGTCAGAAACGAAATATCGAACAGGATATAAAGACATCGCCACCTCCTCTCCGTGTCTGAGAGGCACAGATCTAGGGCACATCTTCACAAAATGGAAAGAAGAAAAAAAACGAGTATCACAGTCCATCACTCACTCCCCCCTCAACGCTCGAACAGCAAATACCGAACCCTAACCCTGATACAAACACTCACATACGTACCCAATTACTAGTTAACGCCTCTTGTTCTTGTGCCTGACATGACAGCGGATTCCAAGAAGACTAAAATGATACCAAGAGAGACTAAGGCCTTCGCTCTCGGTGGAAATAGCAGCGAGCCTCTGGCCTCTTCTCTACGCAACTGAGCTAGAAGCTAACGTAACACACCTTATTGGAGCGTGAGGCTAGGCTGCATGTGCCTCTGGCTGTCAATGAGCTGTGCCGTGGATCTGCATAGGTCTTGATTTTGGAACCTCGGGCTTGAATTTTCGCGGTTTGGGGCCGAGTGATATGTCATTATTTACAACTATGTAGTTTTTTTTCTTTCTCTTTCTCTCTCGCTTTGATCTCCCTGATCGAGCACCTCGTAGCAAAGCATGAATTCGTGGGTCATGTAAGACTCCCGTCATTACATAAAAATAAAATAAAGCAAAAATAATAAAGCAAAAATAAAGGCCAAAAGGGCGAGAAAGAATTAGTAGCAGTATTGGAAGTTGACGTTTTCCTATTCCTCAATGTTAGCAATGATATCCTCAAGGCCAGTAATCCTGGTAGAAGTAGTAGAAGGCGTTAAACTTACCATATCCGTCAAATCATCGAAACTGTGCGTCAAGCCCTCATCCTTAACCGCCTGGCCCTCAGCGAGCTTGGCCAACTTCATCTTGTTCTGCCTGACATAGTGCCATCTCAAGAACACCAGGGTACTCAGCAGCACCGCATAGCATCCCATATGTGTCGCAAACGCAATGCGATACCTCGGGGCATCCCAGGCCAAAAACACCTGCGGCCCAATGGAGTTACCCACCGCCCAGGCGACAAAGTTCGTCCCAACGACAATACTCTTCTTCGTCTGTCCAGCCACGTTCCTGCTCACGAGCGAGAGCCCGAGGGTCGCGCAAGCCCAGAAGGACAGACACACATAGTAACTGATGAGCAGGCCAACCTTGGTACCAAGCTTCCCGTCGTTCTTGACAATGAGCAGGACAATGGTGCCGACAACGGAGGGCAGCACAAACCCGAACATGACGAGGATGTTCTGCGACGTGCGCCTCGCCAGCCACGAAGACGTCAAAAGCGTAAAGATGATGAAGAAACCCAGCACCATCGCCAACAGCTGTGTCTGCAGCACCGTGAAGTCGAACGACTGGATGATGATATTCGCGAACGCGCCTAGCCCGGACGTCGGCAGCGTGGTGAGCAGCTGGATGAGCGCGAAGCACCACGTCTGCGGGTCCTTGAGCGCCTCGATGGCCTGCTCCTTGCGGAAGACCTTGTTCTGGAGACCGGTCTGGTTCTGGCGCACGCGCTCGACCATGAGCTTCTTGTCGTCCTCGGTGAAGCACTTTGCGCGCATGGGCGAGTCGGGCATGTAGACGAGCACGAAGATGCCCCAGAGCGCGGAGGCGCAGCCGTATGCGATGAAGAGCGCTTGCCAGCTGTGGATGGCGGCGGTTTTGGGGATGTTGGTGAAGGCGTAGGCGAGGAGACCGCCGACGATTTGTTGTCCGCCGTTCATCATGTACCTGGTGCCATGAATACTTGTTAGTCTCTATCTGTTACTGAGGAAAGTGAGGAGGGTGAAAGTACCAATAGGTGACGGTGGCAGCTTGCTCTTCACGGCGGTACCACATGCTGGACAACATGATGAAGATGGGCTGACAGCAGGCCTCGAAGGCTCCGAGGAGTGTTCGTAGGATGACCATTCCGGTGAAGTTCTTTCCGGCGGCGTGGCAAGCGAGGATACCGCCCCAGACAATGATGTTGAAGCCGAGATACTTTGCAATTGGGACTCGCTGGATGATCCAGTTTGTCGGGTACTCGACTGTAAGCACAGCCAAGTAGATACATGTTGTCAACCATGAGTACTGTTTTTTTTTCCCCAGTTAACACTCCACTCCAGTACTTGTAGTATATATATGAAGATAAGTAAAGTGGTATGTAGTTACCTTCTGTCCCTGCAACCCAGCATCCTCCCGAATTCCCATGATTGAGGCAAACGACATTGTCCCCTTGTCAAGCGCCTGCAGGAAGTATGTGACGATCATGATTGTCAGAACGCGCTTGTCTATCAGCTTCTTGAGACGCTTTTCCGTGGCCTCGTCGATGTGGATGGCCTTGTCGGAGGCGTACTTTGCGACCTCGTGGTCGATACGGCCATTGTTGTCGTAGTGCTCGACTGCAATCTTTTCATCTTGCATGCCGACATCTTCGAAATGGCTTCCGGTACCCTTTTCCGCCATGGTTGTAGATTTGGGGGGGTGATGGGTGATGTAGGTAGGAGGTAGGAGAGAGAGAGAAAGGGAGAGAGAGAGAGGAGGAAGATGAAGATGAAGATGGGACTCTTCTTCTTGTGTCTTCTTTCTTGCGCTGGTCAAGCTACCAAGAGAGTGGACGAGCAGCAGCAGGCAGGAAGGTTTATATATTGATTTTCATATCGACCAACCCATCTTTCTTCCCAACATTTTCCCTCGCCTCCCAGAAATGCAATAAAAATCATATCATCCGGACGCACGGAGCCCGCCTACATACATTACATGATACTGTATGTACGATAGATAGAGGCTCCCTCGCTAGCTGCGCTCCCAGATTCGAGCTCGGTATATTGCGTTGCATATTGCATTTGGGGTCCTGCAGAAAACCCAGTTTCTGGAAACGAACGACCATATTGTGCGCGGCGCCGCTGGGGTGAGCTAAGCTGGGATCGAGATGTGAGATTAGTTAGTCCTTTTTTTCTCTCTCACTACTAATATATGCGGTGCTAGTGGCGAAACCTTTTTGTCTGTGTCTCAAACACCATCTCGTGAGCAAGTAGGCAAGCAAGCAAGCAAGCAATAATTCCAGCCGAGTTGCTAAAGCTTTCTTTTTCCCACTACTGGGGGTGTGTGAGGGTGAGGTGGTTGGTTGGATTGGCCGGTTGCCAACCCTTGACGTTGACAGGCTGGAATAGTAGACGAGAGGTAGTATGTAGTAGCCATATCCAGCAACAACGGTATCAATTAATCAATCGAGAGACGGGCCCCCTCCCCTGTAAGGCTGGGTATTGTGTTGCGGCTTTCTGTTGTACCTGCTAGGGGGGTAAATGGGAAAAGGCGGGGTCTCCACATGGGGAAGTGAGGTGCTAGCTAGGGAGGGGAGCAAGGGGAGGAAAGGGAAGGGTAGGTAGCGGCGTAGAGCAGTAGAGTAGAGTGGTAGAGTACATAGCAGGGGAGATAGTAGGGGAGGTTATCTTAACCTGAGTACTCACCATCCCCCACGGGGAATAACCGTTGTATCAGACCGTCTCACCCTCACCAGAGTAGAGTAATCCCCACATTTACCAGCGATATTAGAGTGTCCCCCTCCCATCGCGCTTGCTCCTCATAATAATAATCCTCACCCACAACGCCCCTCTAACCGAACCGTTATTTTTTTCCTGCGCGGGGGAGAATGGCGGAGAGAGAGAAGCTAGGGAAGGGGTGCCCGTCCATGCAATGACAAGAAGGCCTAGCCTGAACGCAGTAATGTGGCTTTCTTATGACGCTGGAGCAGATCTCGTGGAAAAGGGCGTTTGGGGCGTTTGTACGAACGTGCTCGGTCACCGGTGCAGTGGACACCGAGACACGAGGTGATCAGATCTCCCCTCCCTCTCCCCGCATATGACATGCCTCACTGGCTCGCTCCCCCGCCCACAAGCCATTGTACCGAGACATGACACAAGTGCTCACTCGGATAAACTCAGTGTTGGAGTTGTGGTCGTAGCTGAGCTGTGTAGGAGAGGTAATCACATGCGTCGTACAGACGGACTAGACCGCTCGGTATGTACCGGTTCGTGGGGTTAAATATCAATTATCAGAAACCCGTGGTGATGAGCTTTTTTTTTGTGTTTGATCTTTTTTTCTTTTCTTTTGATGTCATAAGGGATTGCATTGGCTGAGGCTTGAGTGAATTGAGCTGAAGACTTTTTTTTTCTGATACTCTTCGTTCATCCTATACGTATTCTCATATCAATTGTCACTTTTACCACTACCAATCAAGCACTTTGAGTCCACTTGACGATATTATACCCACTCCCAATCAATCATCACCTCGAAATATTCACTCAACGCCATACCCTCAAACCAAAAAACCAAACCAACCGCCCAAAATGCCCGCAACAATGCACGCCGTCCCCTCGGCCGCCGTCCACAAGGCCATCAAGCAGCTGATCCACAACCTCGTTCACATCACCGACACCACGGGCGAGTTCCTGCTCAAGCTCGACGACGGCCGCGTCATCGACACCAAGGGCTGGAACGACTGGGAGTGGACGCACGGCGTCGGCCTCTACGGCATCTGGCAGTACTACGAGCTCACCGAGGACCCCGAGTGCCTCAAGATCATCGAGGACTGGTTCCGTGACCGCTTTGCCGCCGGCGGAACAACGAAAAATATCAACACTATGGCGGTCTTCTTGACGCTGGCCTGCGTGTATGAGAAGACGGGCAATGGGACGTATTTGCCGTGGCTGGATGCGTGGGCCGAGTGGGCGATGTATGATCTGGAGCGGACGGACTATGGCGGGATGCAGCATGTCACGTATGTTTCCCTCTTGATTATATTCGTCATTTCCTGGTTTTTTCTTTCTAATGGATGGCTGCGTGCAGATACCTCACGCCCAACACCCAGCAGCTGTGGGATGATACGTTGATGATGACGGTTCTCCCTCTGGCAAAGATCGGAAAGGTGCTCAACCGCCCGCACTACATCGAGGAGGCCAAGCGCCAGTTCCTCATCCACATCAAGTACCTCTTCGACACCAAGACCGGCCTCTTCTTCCACGGCTGGACCTTTGAGGACGGCGGCCACAACTTTGCAAAGGCCCTCTGGGGCCGCGGCAACAGGTTTGCCCCCACCTTATTTCCACTCACCCTTGATAGCCTATGCTAACATAAACCCTACAGCTGGCTCACCATCGTGATTCCCGAGTTCCTCGAGCTCCTCGACCTCCCCTCCACCGACTTCTTCCGCACACACCTCATCGACACACTCCACTCGCAATGCCACGGCCTCCGCAAAACACAAGACGCCTCCGGCCTCTGGCGCACCATCCTCGACGACCCTGCGCCAGACTCCTACCTCGAGGCGTCCGCCTCCGCCGGCTTCGCCTTCGGCATCCTCAAGGCCGCACGGAAGCGCTACATCGGCCGCGAGTTCGAGGACGTGGCCGTCAAGGCCGTCAAGGCGGTCATGGCCAACATCGACGAGAAGGGCGAGCTGCAACAGGTGTCGTTCGGCACGCCGATCGGGGAGACGTGCCAGTTCTATAAGGAGATCCCGCTGACGAGTATGCCGTATGGGCAGGCGATGGCGATGATGGCGCTGGTGGAGTTTTTGAGGCAGTATTTGTAGGGGATGAGGTAAGGGGATGGGCTGGTTCCATAGTATCAAATTTCAAACAATAAATTTTTGTTTTTGTCATGTGTGCTGCGTGAGGGTGAGTGAGAAGCTGTGATTACGTTCGGAATGTGTGCCAAGACATGCAGTATCTGAATGTAGAATGGAGTACGAGCCTTAAACTTCCCTTTGTAAATACAGACCGAAAAGCGCCGTACTCGCTGTCACTTGACCAATCCCAGGTGCTGTGCTGTGCGTGTGCATGTATCCAAGGATCATCCATAGCAATGAATTAATAAGCCCGCTAGCCCGTAGAACACACAACCTTCCTAGCCTTCTCTGTGCACAAGTGATTACGTGAGTAAGCTTCGTTAGTCAAAGAGAAACCCTAACCCTTGTTTGCATCGTCATCGTGTGACAAGTTTCGTTAATTAAGGGGTGCGATAAATAGAGGATGTGGATGCGGAGCTTGTTCTACCACGTGGCTTCGTAGACTCTAGGCATGCGAGCTTTTTGTATCGGAGCGCGGGTGCCTTGATGGTTGCATACATACATAACACATACAGCGAGAGGTAAAATTATTGTAGAAACAGGGGTCTAAAAACAGGGTTTCTGTGGCTGGGCAAGCCAATAGGACTCCTCCCATATTTCTACAATAATCTTACCGCAAGCTGTACTATGGCTTCTCGCCCGATGCAGGTGCGGGCTTGGCGGGCGGAGGCTGCGAGTCGTGGGTGTGTGTGTGAGAGGCGGGTGAGTCATGGAGTATCACTCGGTCTTGTGATTCGTGAGGCGGGGCTTGGCGGTTCTGTGGGTCTTTGGTGTCTTTGGTGCTGGGATTGTTGGGTTTGTATAGTAGAATATATGTAATTATGGGTAGGTAGGCTTATTAGCGCTGTTGTCTACTTGATTTCTAATGGGCGTGGTTAGAGTATGGATCTTAGTTTTATAGGCGTTCGTTGAGAGTGAAGCAGTTCGATCTAGAGTTGGGTTTCAATAGTACTAGAGGGTAGACATCTATCTACTCGTTATAGGTTCTGGTTCTGGTGTATGAGAAATGACTAGCTAGTGATGTTGCTAAATGGGTAGGGTCCTCTTTAGACTCAGAGGACCTGAGTTATAGAATTCTCTGTTTATATCGGATGGACACGCTGTGTTGTATGCTATGTGTTATATTTTATCGAAGTTTCTAGGATGATGTCGGGGGTGCTTGCTGCGACAGCAGATTCACCGAGAGCCAAGTACCGACTATAGATACAGGAGGTAAGCCATTACCAATCAACTTTTCTTTTCTCATCGTGCCGGCCATGATAGATAGCGCCGTGGTAACGGACCTAGTTTGGGGCGCTCCTTCGCCTATGCAGAGCTCATACGCCAACCCTAAAAGGTTTATGTTAATATAGATTCCGTGATTATGAGTGGTGAGTGATTGTTATATATTGGCTTCCAACAGGGAAGATTCTTACAAAAGCGCCCCCAACAACGGTACCAGAGGGCCTATGACGAATATGGAAATGGTGCTGAATATCTGGCTCCAGGAGTGAGGGGGGCTACTCCTCCATCAACATTCTTTGCCTCCCTAGCGAGTTGCGGGTAGGATTACCAGTTCACAAAGAAAAGGAGCTCGACCCAGCCTCTCCGGGTCGGGATATCTGGACAACGTGTAAAGTATAGAACGGGATGTGGATAAGTACGATATGGGTACTCCCACCGCAGTTCGTGCAAATGGCCAAGTTCTCCTCGGAACCGTGTTTCTGCAAGCGGCGGAGTCTTGAAAGTAACGTTTTAGATGGTAGAATTTCTTCGAGAACAGCGCATATCTCTGATCCCGAAGAAAGAAACATGAAAAGCATAGCGTAGTGTTCTTACTAGCGTTTCCCTCGGCGCGGGGCTCCGATGTTCAGCTACAATTAGCAGGCGTGATAACCAGTGGAGTGTAGCCGGCGGAGCCGTGGACTCATGTCTGCGTCATGCCCGCACTCCCGGTTCATCATGGACTGTGCGGGAAATGCCAGTGTGCGTGAACAAGATGAGAATAAATGGTGGAAACAGAAGAATAATATGGAGAGTATGATGTGATGCGGTGTTACACGTTTATGGATGGTGGGTGCCGATGAAGCAACATTGTGGTTGTGGTTGTGGTTGTGGTTGTTGAAAGATTATCGTTTCAAGAGCCACCTCCGAAACTCTTCCCTCGCCGCAACATAGGGCTTTTCCATGCCGCGCCCTAACTGGGAACTGCGATTCGCAACTGATTCTGGTTGGATTTGCCCAATGAACATTCTCGGATATAATAGTTAATCACGAGATATCACGAGATATATCTACACCCCGTGTCTAGAAAATTCCCGGAGCCTGGCAACGCCCGCGCGCGGTCAAACCCCCGCCACGAACCAAACCCCGACGCCCCCAAACGGAATTAAAAATTACAGTAAGGAGGACAAGAGAAAGGGTATTGTTACACTCCATTACCTTAATCATTCCGGCAATAAAATCCATGAAGCAACACTAGAAGCACAATCAGTGATGTCATCAAGAAATATGAAGCAACAGGCAATTAATATCAGAGATGCTCCCCGCCCAGGACCTCCCAAGCAATCAGACAAAAACAAAAAAACTATTGAGGCCATAGTTCAGGACGAGCCCACCTTAACCTTAAGGGAAATTGCTGATACAGCCTCCCAGTTCAACATTCAAGCATTCAAGGACACAATGGACAAGGCCCTAAAGGAGACTGATTTTTCTCTCAAGGTGCGAAGGCGGAAACTTTATTTTATGCTTGAGAGAAAGGAAAGAAGACCTTTGTGGTGCGATAGGTGACGCACATGGAATTCGAGGCGGTGGAGAAGGATTGTGTTGACAGATGAGGCCGTCATCGAATATAATCCAAATCCTACTGGTATGAGGGTTAGGTTACAGCCAGGCATTGAGCTAGAGGAGAGACATGTTGGCCCTACATTCAAGAGTAGATGCACTACAATCAAAATATGGTGTGAATTTCAATATGGCTCAAGATGTCCTCTTGTTTTAAATCCCCCAACGCTGACCTGATGAGAGAGCGCGATCGCCTAGGCTTTAATGGGGTACAATATGCAATAGAGATAATAGCTATGGTGCGGGATCAGGGAATTTTCTAGACACGGGTGTACACCTCTCATAATGCGGGCTATTACTTTGTTTGAAATGTTCTAAAGCCATTCTATTGCTATATAATTATAATAGAGTCAGAAAGATCCACCGACTGGCTAGTTGATTAGGTATGAGCGTTGTGTTCTTTGGTCGTATTTAACGATATGCACTTATATCCGTCTCCAGGTATATTCTTTGGCCTAGGTGCGTTGATTGCACACAATAAGAAATTATTTCATCTTCTACAAAATAGCCAGTATGGTGGCCAGCAAGATGACAGGTAGTGTATAGTATAAAGTCTGCAATGATCTAGCTTGGGTATGCAGAGGCATTCTTACAGAAGTGTATACCATTCGTGGTTCTTAGATGCGCAATACTGGTTGACAGCTCATATACATACGGAATTTAGTCATCTGCAGAGAAACCTATCATAATCCCACCCTCTCGGGGTTCTGTCCCTGCAAGCTTCCGGCGCCTAGAAGAAACAAAACCCGTGGTTTTCTAAGAAATAGCTTTCTCCAAATTCCGTCCCTATTACAATTACAGCTGAATTTAGCAAAATTCGGCCACCACGGTGTGGAATTATGATAGGTATTTCTGTAGCTATGTCAACCATTATGAAAACTTCCCATGATATAGGCCATGAAGCTTACCAATATATCCAGATGCCAGCGAAGATAAGTATTCGAGATAGAACTTATCTCACACGACCGTATCGACATTATAGTATAGATAGCACCGAGGTCTTTGATTATAGACTAGCATTCCAAACACTTATCCGCAGTATTTCTCGTAAAGATAGGGAAGAATTCCTCGAGGCTTCTTGGGCTTCGAGAGGTCACATATTTCCCTGTTCTTGAGAAGGTGATCTATGACTAGCTCGAGATGTGTATTGTACGAAATAAATGTTCAGGGGTTGTAGGCTCGGAAGACGACAAGCAGATTCAAAACCCTGTGTTAGCCTAGTGAGTGTATATTATAATTATCGAGTTCCGTAATATAGTTACAATTGAACGTATGTTCATTAGATATCACCCGTATCTGAGTTTCTTATTGGTGATCGATTCTGACGGAAAAGAGTTATATCTCTGGACATGTAGCTCAGGTTAGCTTGGATTGATTATGACGAAACCTTGGACCATTCGCAACGTATCTTGTATATCTGTTTAATAATATTGGAGCTTCTGGCATTATTTTATCAGCTCTGGGGGTCCCATACCTAAGCGCAGTGAAGTTCGCATATCGCTGCGCGTCGTGATACGGTGGATACATCCTCGTTTACTCGTGTACGGCGGTAGGTTTCGATGAAAAAGCGGGTTCTTCTCGTGCTTGAATTCGTCAAGCTGGTGTGTTCGTGGAAGAGGATATAGTTGAGGATCTGTGGATCTTGGCTATGGATAGAGGTGACGACGCTCTGGTGTATTCGGGCAGAGGTTAGCTATATACAAACCATTGTTCATTGCATGCTCGACTCTTTATTTCCAACTTAAGCTGCATCGGTACAAAACCACAATTAGATAACCAACACCAGACTATCCTGTTTGGGAGTCAACAATAATCAACGAACCAATAAAAATCTTTCCTGATGCCAGATACACGACTATTATTCCGAGTTGAATCAAGCGATATATATGCCGACATAGTAGTAAGTTCGCACAAGGCCGGATATGGTTGGATCCCATAAGCGACATATTTCCACAGCATAGTAAATGATACCAGACGAGTGGCTTGCAGAAATATTAGCCTGTACCACTCACGATCATTCTAGCGCAGGTTAATTGTTACTCGAAAATGAAGCATGGCTCAATTAGTATCCAGCTAGATTCTCCGCATCTTTTCATGTTGGACGCGTACGACGTGACCCTCTTAGCGCTCTGAACAATTAAGCTGAAAGTACATACCTCCTCAGATACATGGAGTGAAGGCGGATCCTGTCTGATGGCGGTCAGGGATTTGAGGCCAATAAAAGAGTTAGGTTTGGACGCCAAGGGCAAATTACTGCAAACAGAACCATCAGACAGGATCCGCCGTCAGTAGGTGAGCGACTGTACATGTAATCATCAATTAGATAGCAATGCCTCGGCGCAATATATAGGTATTGGTATAAGTCGGCCAGATTATTATTCGCTAGCTAGCGAGACGTGACTCATCCTCGATAAACCCAATATAGTAGACTTGTTAATTGGGGGCGAGAACGAAGTGAACCACACACGTAATTCTACATTTGCGAATACGAAATCTGGACGGATGGAAGTCCAGAGGAAGTAGGTGGCCATGGCTGGGGGGTTGTCGTGGCTTGTGCGATGTCAAGCGGGCAAAGTACGGGCCGAGAATCAACGGAGTGCAAACCAGCTATGTGCATGTATATAGGCCCACCCACCCACCTCTCTCTTGAATCCCTCTCTCTTCCTGAATTAATTCCCTTCTAGAATGATCTCTCTTCGTGAGTTCTGGAACGTTAAGATCGAGTCGCGAATCAGACCAGTTGCAAACTTGCATAGCTATAGCTCATCGCGGTAGCAGCCTAGCCAAGCTATTGGTATGATCATCATGGCGCAACGATATTCAGCCCTACAACAACTACACATTTATTCTATGCCCACAGAATCTCAAAGGAATTAATGAACGGACAATATTGCTGCGAACATCGACACTTTGTCTCGCGTATCCGTATTTTTTTTTTTTTTTCCTCCCCCCCGCCACGGATCCCAATGTTTCCGTGTATCTCGGGCTGACCCCGGATGCATGCCGGATGCAATATGATCCGAATCCGCCGGGCTGTAACTACCTCACCTTTTAACTACATAATATGAACAACGTCCACTCCCCAAGTCAAGCGCACAAAGGCACAATAATTCGAATCTGATTTATCATTTCTAGAAGAATTACTTCTTTTCGTCCAAACATTATAATTACAATATATAACCAAAAAAAAAAGAAATACCCCAACTCCTACATAACGCCATGCCACAAATGAATCTAGACTATACTACGCCATGCATCATCTATAATTAACAAAGGAAATAATTAGAATAGAGATAGACTCTCATGCTCTTCTCTTCTTGCACAGTGTCTGTATGGACTGCTGCTGCCATCGTATACGTCCATTCCTCATCCACTCATCAAGAATCCAAGCACTGACAGGATCCCACATCTTCACCTCCAGCTTTGCGATGCCAGTAACCTGGACATTCAACCGCGATCCTTCCATCTGCACATCCGAAAATCAACCCCCAAGCCCTTTCAAGAGTGTATCCAAACCTCGGCGCATTTCCTGCAGATGTTCCAGATTTCTTCCCAGAGTAGGCCGACTTGTTGCTCTCCAAGATCTCACGGAGATACTCGTAATAGTACCGATTGAGGCTTCGTATCCTCTTCCCCGAGACAATGAACTGTCCCTTATAGCTCAAAAGCAATGCCTCTGCAGGTGCGGGCCGCTCATAGATCTCCTCGTACATCCTTGGCAGATGCCCCGCATCGTCGTGCCAGTTCCACGGGTCCGTGCAGTCAGTCAGGTTACACGTTATGCCACCAAACCCCAAGCTCAGCATTCCCGTTTCCGGCACAAAGTACTCTAGCAGCCTCCGCTGGAAGTGACCAAAGTTGTGGATCTCGGCCTGGATGAAGAGGGTGTGCTCGGCAAGGTCGTCCCAGTTCTCGATGATGTGCGTGAGATATGTTCCGCCCTCACGGCCACGGTTCGGGAGATGGACGATGTGGTCGGCGCTCACGTGGTCGAGGATCGAGTCGGCAGAGGCGTTGGCGTCTTTTGTGTATACGATGATGTTGGCATCGAGAGAGGCAATGTTAGGGAGGAGGGAGATGGCTGTGAGATGGGTGGAGAGCTCATGCAGGTCCTCGCGGTAGATGGCAATCACGATATCGAGCTTTCGACGGGGAACGTAGGAATGATCCAATTCTCGGGCAGGTAGAGCTGAGGAAGAAGGAGAGGCAGTGTTAGTGAGGTCATACAGGCGGGAAAGGAGGAGGGGGTTTGCATGATTTTTGATATCGTCATGTCGAGAAACGCACATATGCTGGGTCCGTGATAGGGGGGTGTTTGCATGAAAGACAAAAGGAGATATGTCGACACCACAACCACAAATGCCAGAAGCAAATACCGTTTAACAGTCATTCCTGAGGCCATATTGTCGACGGTGTAAAGTTTTCTCCGGTCTCTCCAGCCTCCGGTCTCGCGAAAATTAAATGAGACAGAGATTGGGATAATCTTATAACTATAGGACTTTTGGCAAGGCAATTGATTGAGACACTTGAAATGGAATCAGAATTGGCAACACAGAAGATAATGGATCAATATCAATACTTTGGACTTCTCTTGGGGGAAGGGTTAACACATATACAACCTTATGAAAAGGGGGGGGGCAAGGCATACGAATCTTCTGTACATGTATCTTTGATACATGTGCTACTATTAAGACATATTCAGGGCAAGGCTTTTTCACTGCGCCCTTGTGCGCCCCCACGAAAATACATCGATAAAGGGAAACGAAGGGAGGATTGATTCTACAGTTCTAGCTGGCTAGGGCAGAGCATAAAGACCCGAAACGACAACCTCTAACGCGTACGTTACGACGTGCGTTATCCTCACCAAACTTCGGGTAGGATGGCCGAAGTTATTCTACTAGGATGATAATCACGATCAGGTTGCGCCTTGAAGGGTAAATTACGACGATAGTACTCCAAGTGAATAAGCTCAGATGATATTCCCCTAAATTGTCTCTCTCTCTGATGCCAAGGGTCACAGATATGTCCGGGTCCTTCAAACAAATTCGGGTCTATTGGGGGATGGTTGGCATTTGGATAAGGCTTAGTTATGTTTGTGGTAATGACTCACGGTTAATAAATCCTTGTCCCGCGATCTGAGACTTCAGGGTCCAAGGGTTCTTTTTGGGGGCATCTGCCGCCCCCTTTAGGCAATTGACCTGTCACAACACGAGACAACCGGCTGTCCACAGTAACTTGCAGTCTGCATTCGGAAGGTATGCCGGTTTTCTCTGGCTAGCGTCTGTGTGTCGAGTGATGTACGATGATCACTGTGGTTAGAGGTAGGGAAATCCTGTCATGATGATGCTGCTCTCCCCTCGCTGGCTAGCTGGACCAGGTCGGGTGTTGAAATTGCATTTTTTTCTTCACTTTGGGAGATCTCCCTATGTGGGACATGCAATGTCCTATGTGTGCTCCTAAGTCGAGCGATCGTACCAATATCGCTATGTACTCTGCCCGTCACCGAGCAGCGGCGCAGAGAAAGTGTTTGTAACTGGCCATGGCGAAACAAAGAGTCATCACTTCCATCCATTTAACCTTTGGGTTATCTGGAAGGTTTGATTTCTTGTGATTAAGCTTATAATTGTCCCCTGAGTGAGTACTCTCTCAGTTAGGGCACTAGTGCACGTGCGGATAAATGTTTGACATCAACGTGCATATGTAGCTAGAGTAAGCGCCATATGGATTTCTAATACGGGCGTTAGGCTTGGCTCAAACGATAAGATGCGCGCTGAAAGTGGTATTATCGAAAGACATGAGCGAGCGGCGGGAGCAAATATTTCAAATCTTGAACCACGTTGGCGGGAACCGACGGTTATACTTTAACTAGAGGCGCAGCACAGTTATTCGAATGACTGCCCGGCAGTGAAGCGCTTTTCGCTGCTAGGTAGTATACGTAGTTACAGGATAACATCAATGTACCTACAACTAAACAAAAACCCAACAGCAGATTAGTAGCATATATCTTTCTGGTAAGTGATCACTTCAGCATTACATCCTTCTCTTCCGCTATTTATTTATTTTTTGAAAATAACCTCCAAAACCTTGCGTGGCAACCAACATTCCCCACCAAAACTCTGTAAAAACTCAGGCTTCAAAATGCCAAGCCCCTCCCCTGACATGACCAAGGCCCTGGACGCCCTTGGTATTGGCAACCTCGACCACGACCTTGTTGGCATAACCAACAACACCGCCCTCTCCGCCCTCACCATTGCCATCCTGGCCAGCCCAAACACCTCAGACGAAATAAGACTCGTCATCACCCTCCTGTGCGGCATTGCCAAACAAAACGCAACCATGATAGGCGATATTGCCTCCCTCCAACAGGACCACGAAGACCTCCAAGAGGAGGTCCGCCGTCACCAGCGCTCCCCGGATCCCCGCATCCTCAACCGCCTCGACAGTATTAACTTGCAGCTCCGCAGCGCCCCGGCCCCTCCTGCCCCCCCCGCCCCTCCTCCCCCAACAACAAGAATAACCACCACCACCCATACCGCCCCCCCCAACCCCAGACCCTCCTCCTACGCCAATGCCGTCAAATCAACGGTAACCCCGCCCGCACAAGGAGCTAAACCGCAAAGACAGCGCGGAAGAAGAAACGGAAACGCTGTAGGATCCCCCCCAAAGGACACGCCTCTCCCGACCTACAAACGCCGCTTCTTCGCCACTAAAACCACACCCACCCTCATCCCCGACTCCGACCGCCTCACAGCAGAACTCCCCGTCCTCTTCGGCCAGTTCCTAGCAAGGCAAGGTCTTGTCGCCCCCGCCACCGCCCTCTCAGTCACCGTCAACGCCAAAGGTACAGTAACAGTCCTTGCCGCCCCAACCATCCCGAACACCACCTTCGCTCCCTTCTACGATAGTCTTACCGCCATCCTCAACCAAAAAATCCCCACCCCCGACAACCCCTACACCTCCTTCCGCCCCGCACCAGACACCACCGACGTCGCAGTGCACGGAGTCCCCCTATACAGCATACGTGACAAAACCTCACTACAGGACACCTTCCCCGAAGCAGTCCGCCTAGCCACAGGCATCACCCCCTCATCATGCAGATTCCTGGTCGCTAATGACACAACTCGCAATACCAAGACCTCCTCCACCATCGTGATCACCGTCTCCCGCTCCGAAGCCGCTGTTATCGGCACAACCATACGCCTCTTCTCCCGCCCCCATCGTTGTGCTATCATGTGGTCAGCCACAGCGGGAACCCAATGCTCCCACTGCTGCAAACTAGGCCATGTCATCAATGGATGCAAACAAGAGCTTCCGACCTGCCCCTGCTGCACCCTCTCCCACACCAAAGCAGAACACCGCTGCCCCGTCCCCAGCTGCCAAGGCTACAACTCGTCAACAATGGATTGCTGCGACGTCTCCCAATCCAACATCAGCAAACCTGTAGCCTTCGCCAGACGCCCGGGGCGCTCAGGGCGTGTTTGGGGAAATAGCCAGTGCTAAGCAATAATTCTGTAGCGTTTTAAACTGATGATATTGTAAACCGGATTCCCTTGACTTGATGGTTGATAATACCCTCAAGTCTTCGCAGAATCAAGCCCTATTTATACATGTTGGAACCTATGCCAAGGCCCGCTTTCTAATACTAACTGACACAACGATAATAGAATAAGATAATGCTCCCGAAGATAACCCAGATAGAAAAGCGCCCCCGCATAGTTCCGTCCTCCATTCTAATTCCGACACGTAACCCTGAACCTTGCAATTGCTAGTCATCGGGCTGTACCATACTATTATCCTAGACCTACTTCCCTAAGTAGAACCGCCTACAGCCGTAAGCCCCGCTTCCTATTCTATTCCGGGTGAGACACCCAATAGTAAGCGTGCCGTCATAACAGTATAGTACTAGTGTGGTAACACCGCATGCCCCCACACTACCCGATACCTCTCTATGCTGGTCCTTTCGTTACCCGACCGTCCTCGAATCACAACCCGTCACTCGTATTCCTCCTTGTCCTAAGCCTCTAGAACAGTGTTCCGTAGTTCCTGTAACACTACTCCCCCTTCCTAGACGTCGCCCTCGACCGTTAAAACCCTTCTATGATAAAAACCCTGTTGGATAAGTCATAGAGTAGGGAAAGGTATCGAGCTTAGTCCCGCCTGTTCCGTTGTCGCTTATGAGCCCGGTCATTATCGATCGCTGGGCCTCGACTTCGCGTATGGGGTCGTATGTTCGAGGTTGGCTGGAAATTCTCGTCTGCCAATGCCTCCTGTGGCTCGGGTGTTGCCAGTCGCTTTCGTGTATTTTGTTTCCTGGTGGGATCCGGGTCCTCACGATAGGGTCGCAGCAGCATCTCGTGAAAGACGTCGTGAACCTTCCATTCTACCGGAAGTTCGAGACGGTAAGCCCGATTGCCCACCACTGCCGACACTGTGAATGGTCCCGTGAACTTGTCTGACCACTTGGAGTACCCTCCAAGGTTCCGAGTATCTAGCAAGACTTTCTGACCGATAGTGAACCGCTGTGCTGCTGGTCCTGGCTTTGACGCCATCCTGTCGAAAGTTTTCTGTAGCGTATCTCTCGCTAACTCGTGAGCCGTGATGATCTCGTCCAAGTAGTTGTTTCCGTTGGCATCTAATCGTTCGATCTCTGCATCCGTAGGCCAGTCCGTTCGGGGGTGGAAGCCATAGTTGCAGTAGAACGGTGATTGTCCAGTCGACGTAATGCTTCGCATTGTTGTAGGCGTATTCGCAGATAGGTAACAGGTCCTTCCATTTCTTGCCTGTTCCTGCCGTATGTGCCCGGATATATCCTTCCATGTGTTGGTTGGTTCGTTCCGTCTGGCCGTCGGTTTGCGGGTGGAATGAAGTAGAGAGTCTCCTACGAATCCCCAATCTTTCCGTGATTGCCATCCAGAATGCTGACACGAACTGTGTTCCTCTATCAGAGACGATGCTCCTAGGAAGTCCGTGGAAACGCCAGATGTCTTTGACGAATGCGTTTGCGGTTTGTTCCGCGTTGATTCCCGTCATTGGAATGAAGTGAGCCATCTTCGTAAAACGGTCCACGACTACCAATACGTTGCGGAATCCTGATTTCTCCTTAGGCATTTCTACTACGAAATCCATCGAGATATCAGTCCAAGGTGTGGTGGCTAACTCTAGGGGTTGAGGGAGTGACAAGTGTCTCCGACGTTGCTTGGCTCTCTGGCATACATCACAAGTCTTGACGAAGTTGGCTACATCCGTGGACATTCCTGGCCACCAGTAGTTCCTATCAATCAACTCGAGG